GAACCACCGACCTTCTGATTAGTGGCTGACCTGCTCTGCCACCTGAGCTACAGCCACTCCAGTTGCAATATTCAAGATCAAAAAAATGAATCTTCAAATTTTGTAGCTTCGTTTAGATTTCTGTATAGAAAAAAAAGAGGGACTGAATCATTCTCCGGGGTCTCCCAATTTATGGTTATACTGGTCAGTTGCTGTGCATTTCTATAGCTAACACCTGGATTCATAGACAGCAAAGATTTCTAAAAGCCTCTTAATTATTCATGTTAGACTCTCCAGCCTTTTTTATTTCACAGTGTGGCAGAAATCTCAGTTCTTCAATAGTTTGTGTTGGAGAAAGTTTTTATGAATGAACCTTAAAAATCATAGTAATGAAGGTGTAGTTTTTACAGTGATATTGTGGTGTCATACCTTTAATTAGAGCGGGGCATTTACGATGTATTTATGATTGTATTGTTTTTTTGTTACCTCTCTCGTGAAGCACTTTGTGACATCTGTCTGTGAAAAGTGCTATAAAAATAAAGTTTTACTTACTTACTTAGTGGGTTATTCAAATCTATTAATTCAAAGAACCCTAACGGTACCTGTAATTTTTGGGTTGGGAAGAGTTAATATTTTTCTCCTTTTTACAGTTAACCAAGTTTTCAGAATGACTTAAGCCAAAAACATCATTTGTGTTCATGTTATTGTGCTTGTATAAACCAGTGACTTTTCTACATTCTACAGATTCTCACTGAAGGTACTGATGGCGTGTGCTTACATCATTAACTTCTTTGTTTTGTTAGTCTGTAGTAAAGGCTTTGATCAGCTTGCTTCCTTTTAATCAGCCTTGAATAAACATATTTTTCTCACTGTGCATGTATTTCTTCAGCATCTTTTACCTGCAGTTAATGTGACAGGCTATCTTCATATCATGTATGCTTTGCAGTACGTCAATAAACTGAGATGCAGTGATGTGAATCTGAGTTCATGTGTTTATTTAGGTGCTTCGCGCAGTTTCTCCTTTAGTCAGAGAGATCGCTGACTAAAGGAGAAACTCTGGGGATTATGATTTGGAGCATATGTCTACACATGTCTGTACATGAGGATGCTGATAGTTGTGCTTGCTATAGTCAATGCTGTCTTCTGTTTGGTTGCAGTTAAAATAAAACAAAATAGGATGATTGAAAACTGATAGTGACAGTTATGTTCATGACACAAATTTCTGTTAGGAAAGTCTACAAGTTGCACAGCACGGAGTCCTTGAATTTCCTAATTTCATGCTGTTGTGGAGTTTCACAGAAAAAGATTGGATATTAGAGGAATACAACCACTTGTACAAAGAAACTGAAAAGCTTTAAACTTTCTGAATGAATACAACCTGAAGCAACACGTCATCCCAACTATCCCCAAACGTGTCCATCCCTCACAAATAACAGGTGATTATGTGTAAAACATGTTGAATTAAATAATATTAGCAAATAGGGTTAAACCACTTACTTATTAAGAAATATGTCACTACTGTATACACTCCCTTCTCCTATCTTTTCCACAGGAGCTTAACTGACCCCATCCTCCTCATCTCTACTCCATCATCTGCTCTCCCCCTGCCTCCTAATATGAGTATATTAGGAGTATATTGCAATATGTTCAGATAGCATGATTTAAAGAGTGGATGTGTCTTTCTGCTGAAGGCCTAGCTGGTGAGTCGAGGGTTGGAGATTGTGTCAGCTTATTACAGCTGATTATCTGTAAGGGGATTAGAAGTACAGGATGGTGAGTTAACAGGCACTTCAAAATTGCTCTTCTCAGCTTCAATATTTGCTTTGTGTCAGAGCTCACCTTGCTCCGGGATAGCGGGAGATCAGCACGACATTGGACTAGCAGCAGGTGTTAGATTTCACTACCCAAGGTAAAGATTTTGCCATGTGTTGTATTGTGGGCATGGTATTGGCTGATTGGATAAGTGTATATGTGCTGCCTGACAGCTAGTATCCTTAGCTCGTCTCATCTTTGCACTTTCTTCTGATCTATAATAATGAAAAGAAAAAAAATGCCTTCAGTTCGTGCATGTTGTAGAAATGTATAGTCTTATGCTTTGGAAAGCATTCATGGACCTCGGCAGACAAAAGAAAGAACATTTGGATTAGTAGATGTTTACATCTGTCTTTCTTTGTGCAGTGTAAAAGCATCAGTTAGACCTAAGTTGGAGTTATTTCATCTAAGTCAACGCTAATGGGTGTGTCTATATGATTCTTAATCCTCTGGGAATCACACAGCTGGGATTCTGATGATGGTGGTTCTTAGTATTTGTGCCAGTTTAGATAAACTGACCTTCTTTCTTCCCCGCAGTGCTCTAATGCTGATCATGTCAAGTTGTGGTCTGCAGTCAGGAGTGCCTAAAATATCTCTGTAAGCTGCTTATGACACTCAGCGGGCAGCAGCCTCCTTCCTGCTCCATCCTGCAGCTTTCATTTAAAGAAAAGTCCACACTGAAGCCTGACCTCTGACCTCTGAACCTCTCGCACCTGTGTGGACTTCACAATTGAGCCACCATACCCCATCTGCCTGATGGTTCATGACAGCAAGATTCAAACACCTTAGTTTAGACTAGTTCTCAGAACTGTTTGTCCAAAGGGAAGTTTTTCTTATTTCGAAGAGATGAAATGAAGGCCTGATTGGAAACCAGTCAGAGTGCACACAGCCAGCTTCTAAAAAGCCTGATTGCTCTGTGCCTTCGTCTTTACATATTCACGCTCACAATTGATTTACAAAACACTCCTTACATTGTGGTACATCTTATCTCCTGTTGTGTTTTTCTGTGTTTTATCAATCATTTATCAATCATAAATGATTGATATTTATGAAAAGTGCAACCTTAAATATTTCAGTCGGTGGGCCTTTAGAAGCTTCAGCTGTGAGCAAATGAAGTGAGAATGATGAATTTGGTGGCTTAAAATTATATTAATTTGTAAACAAGTTTCAGTATTGCAACAAAAAGGCATATGCACAAACAATATGCTGTCATGTTGTTATGTAGAACATAAACTCTTTAGCTCAGACAGCCTGACAGTAGATTGTTATGCAGCACCTTGTGGTCAAAAGTGTTCATGCACACTGAGGGTGGCCACCTTTTGGCCATGTTAGCAGCTTCTTAGCCGTGAGTCACTCAGAAACCTGAGAACGGTCATGGCAGTTGGGAAGGTGACATTTAGCAAGGTGGAGAGAGAGAAGCTAGCTGAGGTTCTCTGGCTGCTTAATTGGATTTCTGTAGTGACAGGAACTATCCTCTTTGGCCTTGGCTTGTTCCTCAGAGTAGAGATTCACAAATGGCAAGAAGTGATGTCGGAGCAGGGAATCCTCTATGTGCCACATATGCTGATCACCACAGGACTAGCAGCCTGCTGCATCAACTTTTTCGGTGGCAAGATCTGCCTGGACTGTGCCGACACCAACAAGTTCTTGCGCTGGAAGCTGGTGATGATGCCGTACATCATATGCACCTTCTTCTTCACCTCTTGCGTCCTGGCAGGGGCGCTCATGTGCTACGGCATTCGTAGTCAAATGGAGGAATCCCTGTTTATGGGCCTGAGGAATGCCATGCGATACTATAAAGACACAGACACTCCAGGCCGCTGCAACCTGAAGAGAACTGTGGACCTACTGCAGATCCAGTTCCAGTGCTGTGGGAACACAGGATACCGAGACTGGTTCCAGATCCAGTGGATCAGCAGCCGCTACCTGGACATGAGCAGCAGTGCTGTGGTAGAGTAAGTTGAGCAGGACATGCTGAGTCTTTCTGGGTTTGTTGATTACTGTGAATGATGCACATGGTAGCAGGTACAGGGTCCTTCAGTAGAGTGTATCAGACCAAAGCGCACCAGGTTAAAAACTACACCCCGCCTAAAGGTATCTGTCAGAAAAACCCCCAGTATTAGTGCAAAACATAACGTAAACAGAGTACGTTGTTAACTGTGCTCAGATAACCTTCATCGACTGGTTGTTTGTGGTCACATGAACCCTCCAGTTGTCAAACAGGAATAATAATTTAGGTGTTGAACTTTGAAGGACCTCATAGAGTGTTGCAGGTGGATGAATCTAGAATTCACAGTGACAGTGTTTACATTTTGCTGTGTAGCAGTTATTTGTGTTTGCTGAAGTGCTGGACTCAGGTTCCGACATGATTTATCCAGCAGAGCAGGGTTTAATGTACACAGACACATGACTTTTAATGTTAGGAGAGCATAACACTTTCCACAAACCCTTTCACTGTTGAAAATCTTAGAAATTACATCAGATAGTACATTAAGAGTTCAAAATATGTAAAATATTAGTCTAGATGTCAGTAGATAGCAGACTGAACTGAGGTCTTTTTTCTTACCCCTCACAATTTATTTAGTGCATAATCCTAGCTGTGGTGGCTGCTGTAGGACAAACACCTCTGGCTGCCCATCATTTGTAGTGAGTGTAGTCTGCTGTTATCTCAGCTGTTGGTGTCCAGGTCCATTTACTCTGGAAGAGAGTCTGATAAGAGTCGATGAGTCAGAGGAACTCACTTGTGATACTGAGGTGAGTTGCTGAAGATCTGCTGAACATTTCTGTAAATGCTGTTGTTAGCCTCTGTTAGCTGGTGTTTGGGAAACTTTCTTCAAGGCTGATCTAATGTTTTCAGGCTTGGAGACTTAGCAAATAAACTCTCATACCATATGAGAATATAATCAAACTGTTTGATTTTTGGGATATTTGTTTTAATGTTAGTTTATAACCGGCTGTTGTTGTTGTTGTTTAGTCGGATGACAATTTTAGGAATAAATAAGTGTGTTCGTGCACATTTTTATGTGTCAGAGCCCTAGCTTTAATTAACAAGATACGGTTTGTGGTGAGGAGGAAGAGGAATGAGGTGAAGATGAGGGACGAGGAAAAAGACATTTATTTGTTTGTGATCTTTAAATTAAATGTAACTGTGGTACTATGTGGCTGGTCTGTTCCATTGTCATCATGCAGGTGGGACGGCCATGTCATTCTTAGCCACTGCATTCAAGATGGCAGGGCAACACGGTGGTGTCTAGGTCCATTTACTCTGGAAGAGAGTCTGATAAGAGTCGATGAGTCAGAGGAGTCAGAGGGCATCAACTTGTTGGAAGACGGAATTACGCATTAATCAGTATATATTTATGAAGACTTTTTTCTATTAAAAACTTCTAAAAATGACCGACTGCAACTTTAAAATAGTTTCATTAGATGCTGCATTGACTGATTGTGTGTCTGTTTAGTTAGTCTTTTATTTACCAGCAGTGTGAGTTGTTCACACACAGTTCACACTGCTTCCCCTGACTTTATTATTTCTAACTGAAGGCCTGTTTATAGAACACCTATATGGAAATGTGGGTGTTTCTCTTCCAACAGACAGTAAGCAGACTGACCCCTGAAGGATTTAGGCCACTGGTCTAATGCAGTTAAGCCTGGACGCTACAGAGGTCAGGTGTCATACATTAATTAGGAATAACCAATAGGGTCCAGTCAAATAACTTCAGATAACTTATTAAACATAAGTTATAAGTTAGCAATGACAGAAACTTTATCAATAATTCTGATATAAACATGTGATAATTGTTTCTGCAGCTTTAGTTTCTTTAAATTTGATCATGAGATCCCTTGGAAGATCATGACTCCACAAACAGCATACAAACATCACTTAGAAACAGCTGCAACATGTATTGAATTTAATTCAATAATCCCACCCTCCCTCCCCTTTTTTCCAATTCTTTCACCTCTTCACTTCTCATTAGTAAATGGTGATCTGCCAGGCCCGGGAGCCACCGACAGTCTCAATCGAGGCCTTCCCCAAACCTTAGCTCAATTCTTGATTAAGCCATTGCCTTTATCTACTAAAAAGTGCTGCCAAACCTAAAATGAGAATGTGGGCCCAGCTAGTGAAACGATTGACTGACTAACTGCTCTGCATGCAGTAGCAACAGTTCCTGTTCCTCCCTTTCAGTCGTATGAGGAGTAATGTGGAGGGGAAGTACCTGATGGATGGTGTTCCCTTTAGCTGCTGCAGCACCTTCTCCCCTTGGCCCTGCATCCAGCACCATCTCAGCACCAGCTCGACCCAAGACGAGCAAAGCCAGCAGCTGAACCTGTGGCGGCGGGGCTGCAGACAGGCCCTGCTAGACCACTACACCGGCATCATGCAGTCGATCGGCCTCACCGTGCTGCTCATCTGGCTTTTTGAGGTACTGGTGATTTTGCTGAAACTAGAACCGTCAGTTCATACAGAACAGAAGTGAAAGCACAGAGGTTTACAAATCAGCTCCATAAAAAGAGCTTTTTTAAAACCCCAATAAGATCTGCAAAGCCACCATCGTGGACCTCTGTGGTTTTAAAGGAGACTCACTTTCTGTGATATATGCCATGATCTAATCTCAGATGTTCACTAAATATGGCTAAATTTTCAAATATTGAGGTAAACATGCAAATCAAATATAAACTAATCTAATCCAAAGAGTCTGAGGGCCTATTAAAGTAACAGAATGTAAATCAGCTGGTTTCGGAAGATGACGGCCTTGTATCAGATGAAGATGGATCATTTTGTACTCTGGCTCATGCATAGCTGCGCTGGTAGAGTCCAACAATGAAAGTGAGGAAGTGGAACAGCACCAAAAATCAACACTTCCATCGTTGTAGTAGCCTTATAATAGAAAATCAGAGGAACGAGGACAGAAAGAGTGCGTTCATGTTTCTTTTATTGTTCTCGATTTTGACATATTTCTGTCAAAATGCAGCTAATAAATGAACCGTGTCCTTGTGTTAGAATAATGCCTGAATGCTATAGTATCTCAGTTTGGTTATATTAATGTGTGCTATATCAGTGAGCTATCCGATGTTGCACTCAGTAGAGTCCTAAGAGTTTTTCTGCTTTCCTGCAGCGTGTCACCTCCCTTTCCCGAAACATCTGTGAACCTCTGTACGGGGAAGGAGGTGTCTTATTCCATTCACTGAGCTCAACAGCCGACTCAGAGTTGAAGGAGCTAATAAATATAAATGAAAATGATGCAGCTCTCTAATGTGTTGTACAGCATCATGGACCATAGGGCTAGGGTTGAGTGTGTCTTTTCCTCTCTATTGGCATATCACAGCAGCTCGAGCATCAGCTGGAAAGCCACCAAACGAAGCGTTTTTTCAGAGACACCCTCATGGCACTTTTCTAACTGTGGATGTGAGACAAGAGCCTGGGTACAGAACTCCAATTCAGTTTCCATCACTGCAGAAAAAATGATGTGAGCAACAAGAGTACCTTGATGAACTCAGGGATGCCTTAGGATCTGACAGTAAATAATGTTCACCTCACAGGTCAGCTGTTCTACACAACTTTCATTTAGTGATCGTGCAGCTCTTTTGGATAAATCCTGAGCTTCACGTGAGACTTAGATCTCAGGACCTTGCACAGTCCCAGCAGCTTATATCAGCAGAGTTCTCCCTGATATCATGAGCATATTGATCCTCCTTCAGCCTCATCTCGTTGTTTTTGGAGAAAAACAGAAGTAAATCCCGAGCTTGCACTGAGTGTGTTTCTTATACCCTTATTTTTGAGCCACAGATTAACACTGCTCATGGTTAATAAAATGAACTGACTGCTCTTGTGTGTTTATATGTTTATAAATGATAAATTTGTCACATTTACATTCGGCTCAGTCTGTGGGTGAGAGCATGTGGTCTGACCCTAGCTTCGTACAGTAATACCAGTCTGATGTGCACACCGCTTACCACCCTTAATCACTGGATTATTACAAAAGGTGGGACCAAAAGTGTCAGCTTGACCCCCAATCAAGATCCCCATAGCAGACTAACGCTCTTATTGCAGATTTAACACTGAGCAGTTTCAGTGTCCTAAAAGCAACCATGTTAAAGGCAGGGAGATCACAAGATGGGGGCACACAGTCACAATACTTCTGGTCACACTGTGGTCTCCACTGTGACTGAAGTCTAAACTTGATTAAACATACTGTATTTCCTTTTTCCACCAGCTGCTGGTTCTGACAGGTGTCCGTTATCTGCAGACGGCCATGGAGAACGTTCTCCGGCTGGGTGATCCAGAGTCGGAATCAGATGGTTGGATTTTGGAAAACAGCCTGGCAGAAACGGCCCGGTCCAACTTTAACATTATTAAGAACCTAGGAAAGTGTTACCAGGTCGACGACGACCCAAACATCAATGTCCCGACTGCTGCTGCAGAGGAGGAACTGCCATCATAGCAGGTCCAGGTCCTCGTGACCAGCTAGCCTCCAGCCTGTGGAGTCATGGACAGCAGAAGGAATGAGCTGTTCCAAAGATGCTTTTGACTCGGGATAGAAATCACTTCATTCTCCAGGATGCAGAGTGAATCAAGTGGATCTGACACGTTTAGCTTCGTCCCAGAGACAAGAACAAAAACTTGATTGTTTGATCGAAACAAGTTCGGAACAGTGGCTAAACTTTACCTGCTGAGTCCTTAGAGCTCTCAGATTTATGGACCAACAAGGTCTTCTGCCTTCAGATACGTGAGTTTGAATAGGTTTTACCTTGATGACAGGTTTATAAATGAACTCTTTGTGACTTTTTTTTTATATGATAAGAGGAGTTATTTTTTATACTTGAAGTAAATTACAAAGCCATGAACTGGTACTTTTTGGTCTTTGATTGCATTTTTAATATTTACCATTCTCCAAAGAAGTCTGATCACTGTGAAAAAAAAATCAACAGCCCATCAGTTAAAGCCTGAAAACAGTACAAGTACAGGTTGGACCATTTATATGGACACACCGTAATAAAATGGGAATGGTTGGTGATATTAAAGTCCTGTTTGTGGCACATTAGTATATGTGAGGGGGCAAACTCCTCAAGATGGGTGGTGACCATGGTGGCCATTTAGAAGTCGGCCATCTTGGATACAACTTTTGTTTTTTTCAATAGGAAGACATGTGACACATCAAACTTATTGGTAATGTCACAAGAAAAACAATGGTGTGCTTGGTTTCAACGTAACTTTATTCTTTCATGAGTTATTTACAAGTTTCTGATGTGTGTTCAGTGTGCTGCCCATTGTGTTGGACTGTCAATGCAACCCTCTTCTCCCACTCTTCACACACTGATAGCAACACCGCAGGAGAAATGCCAGCACAGGCATCCAGTATCTGTAGTTTCAGGTGCTGCACATCTCGTATCTTCACACCATAGACAATTGCCTTCAGATGACCCCAAAGATAAAAGTCTAAGGGGGTCAGATCGGGAGACCTTGGGGGCCATTCAACTGGCCCACGACGACCAATCCACTTTCCAGGAAACTGTTCATCTAGGAATGCTCGGACCTGGCACCCATAATGTGGTGGTGCACCATCTTGCTGGAAAAACTCAGGGAACGTGCCAGCTTCAGTGCATAAAGAGGGAAACACATCATCATGTAGCAATTTCAAATATCCAGTGGCCTTGAGGTTTCCATTGATGAAGAATGGACCCACTATCGTTGTACCCCATATACCACACCAAACCATCACTTTTGTTGTTCCAACAGTCTTGGAGGGATCCATCCAATGTGGGTTAGTGTCAGACCAATAGCGGTGGTTTTGTTTGTTAACTTCACCATTCACATAAAAGTTTGCCTCATCACTGAACAAAATCTTCTGCGTGAACTGAGGGTCCTGTTCCAATTTTTGTTTTGCCCATTCTGCAAATTCTGTGCGCCGATCTGGGTCATCCTCGTTGAGATGCTGCAGTAGCTGGAGTTTGTAAGGGTGCCATTTGTGAGTAGCTAATATCTGCCGAAGGGATGTTCGACTAATGCCACTCTCCAGTGACATGCGGCGAGTGCTACGCTGTGGGCTCTTGCTGAATGAAGCTAGGACAGCCACTGATGTTTCTTCATTAGTGACAGTTTTCTTGCGTCCACATTTTGGCAAATCCAACACTGAACCAGTTTCACGAAACTTAGCAAGCAGTTTGCTAACTGTAGCATGGGAGATGGGTGGTCTCGTAGGGTGTCTTGCATTGAAATCTGCTGCAATGACCCGGTTACTGCGTTCACCAGATATCAACACAATTTCGATCCGCTCCTCACGTGTTAACCTCTTCGACATGTCAATGGCTGTGAACAAAGAGAAACTTGTAAATAACTCATGAAAGAATAAAGTTACGTTGAAACCAAGCACACCATTGTTTTTCTTGTGACATTACCAATAAGTTTGATGTGTCACATGGCCCTCTTCCTATTGAAAAAACAAAAGTTGTATCCAAGATGGCCGACTTCTAAATGGCCACCATGGTCACCACCCATCTTGAGGAGTTTGCCCCCTCACATATACTAATGTGCCACAAACAGGACTTTAATATCACCAACCATTCCCATTTTATTACGGTGTATCCATATAAATGGCCCACCCTGTAAAATAAAATAGAATAGAATAGCCCCTTTATTTTCATTCAGAATGCCCACCAGTGCACATCAGAAGGAAATTTTGGTGCATTTACTCGCCATCTTGTCATATTTACCTGTAAGAGAAATTTGTATATACTAATTATTATTAGTAAAGAATGTTAGGAGATAGATATGCTGCACAGCAATAATAGCAGCAGAAGAAAACCAGTCAACCATTCTAGGCGTAAAACTGCACTGCTCCAACATTTATAAAAAGAAGAGGCAGCACCATGGCATCATGGTTAGCAGTGTTGCCTCACACCAACAAGGCCCAGAATTCAAATCCACCACCTAACTTGGGGCTTTCTCTGTGGGGTTTACATTTTTCCCTCACATTCCAGCTGCATGGCTCCATAACTCACCTGAGAACAGTCGCATCCATCACCCACTTTAACATCTGGAACTTCAAAAGATTTTGTGCTTTAAAGCTGAAGCAGCCAGTCTCCTTGGTTCCCAAATAACTGACGAGTATGATTATTCAAAATTATGTTTTCACAAAGCGATCTCAGTTTTGACACCCTATCAGTTCTTTAGCCATTTTAATAAAAAAAAATGTGGGCTTTAAACAATGCAGTAAATACTGCACTCTGGAGTTACAGATTTTTCTGAAATGTGTTAATGTGTTGTACAAATGTGTGACAAAGGATGCTGCCACTGCCCTTAATCATACATGGTGGTTTCATGTATAGGTTCATGCACGTCAAACATGAAATGAGTAAACTAATACCAAATTGTCACAGAGAGGCAGACCCTCAAAGAGTTTCCTGCTACCAGGAGTCAAATCGTGGCCATTGCGTGCCGCGCCTTAACCTTTAGGGCCTTTTTTAAAAATGTTTTATTCACAGCCAGGTCATAAAAGATGAGGCTGAATCAGAGGAAGTCAGCAGCACTAACTCTGAAAGGTAAAATTTGAATTTCCTGTGAAAGTAAACTGCTCATGTTGCTGTTGGTCATTTTTCCAGAATTTTACATTCAAGTCTCAAGTACCTGTGAGACGTATTGAAACACATGACACTCGCAGCCTCCTTAAAAACTGGAACAGATGATGTTTGTTTTCACGCACAATGTTGTGGGTTTTCAGTTTTAGATGTATTCAAAAGTCTGAGGTGTCGCTGAACACTTTTAAGCTGATAGATTAAAGACACGGTTGAACCAAACAGCTGATTCATTGCTTTATGTCTGAAAACACATTTGAAGGTTTGCTGTAAGCAAAAATACTTACAGCAACAATATATTTACAATTCCAAGTCAAAATTTATGACCTTTGTTGTTGAATAATGTGATGGCATCAGCCACACAGGGGTAAATTAGTCCATTTTTCACTTTATTAGTTTGCTTTGCAGTTTTCTT